CCGTCTACAGAGCATTAGCTAAACAGACGCCCATATCTACAGTTGACATGGATGGAGGCATTACACACTTGTCACCAAACCTGCATCGCTACGCCTGAGTTGCAAGCGGCATCAAAGCCAGTCAACAACGTGAGACGCTGTGTATTAACAAGTTCGAAAGACATATCACTGCGATGGTACGAAAGGGCGCCGCTCCCCTTCTTGGTCGAGCATTTTATTCATGGTAAGGCGATCTCTGCATCCCAAAAATGTTGTCGTTGATATAGATTTCGGTTACTAATTACTGGTTGGAAACAGTAGGAGGAGCTGTACCTGTGTAGCTGCATCTAATATCACTCAGGTACAGATATTCGTTATGATAGAATGCGCTCGATATATTTCATACTAGCAAATCGTTTGTTCAGGAATCCCTTGTTTTCCGACACCGACTTTGACCCAACTGCGCGTTGTGACAGGTTGATCCAAAAACACACCACTCTCCGTTCGAAACAGAGGTTGTGAAGGACTCAGTTCAAATTCGGTACTAAAAGCTTGTATCCATGCCTTCGTGTGATGATTTGCGCGTATATGCCACAGCGGTCTGAACATGTGGTAATCACAGAGATGTGATATCTGGTGTGTCATCATGAGGTCAACCCGCAATCGACGATACGATAGGGTGTAAAACCAGTCTCCTACATCGGTCTTCACACTGCACATCACGTAAATCGGAGATCAATCCCGCAGGCATCATGTTGTACCCGCTCAATCCTATCTACTTCGACCCGGGTGATAGGACAGTATGCGAGTGCGCCGTACTCTAGCATTGGTCGCGTTATTGAGACGAAGAGGCAAGTAGTCATCTCTTCGGACTAAGTGTCGAAGCTGCGTTTTAGCGCCCAAGGCACGAGAAAGCGGTTTCCGTAAAACCTATTTGTGCTGTCCATGCACTTTAGGTCGCAGAGTGATCATGTCCCAGGGCGTTGAAACTTTGCGACAATGAAACTAAGAAAACTTGCTGAGGGGGCCTTGTACCTTGTGCAAAAGCAGGTTAGTGTTTCCAATTTTGCACCCGTGTTTGGAGCCGTGGGTGTGCGGTGAGATTTCAAGCCGACCTTTGTGAGGTCGTCAAGTAGTCGTTTTTGGGTGATCCACTGATATTGGACTTTGAGCTTCTACATGTCGGCTGATAGGCAGCTCACGTGATGAAGTTCGGGGTAAAGTGATCATTACGTAAGTCACTGTTTCTATGATAGACTGTCGTGCATCGCAGCCTTACGACACAATAGAAAGGTTTGCTGCCGTAGTTGATAAGTCTCAATGGTTCCGCTCTGCGTCTGTCGACTAGGGTGAAGTTTTAGACTCCTTCAAGTGATTCCCCGATGGGAGCTTGCTACCACGCTTGCGACACATCTCGAGTGTTTCTTCCGCCATGCGTTTGCACTGAAGTACCACTTTCAACGCTTTGGAGCCACATGTGTCCAACCGTGACGGCCGGGGGCATATAATTCGGTCACTTTGGTTGCTCCAACGTCCACACGCGACTAATGAAATTAGGGTTTCACTAAAATGTAATAGCTTACAGGGAAGAAACAGAGGTATTAAAGATGTTAAACAACGTGTAACAACATAGTTGGCCATGGCAAACCATTTATCGTCACATTCACTGTTTGCCTCTGCGCGCACCGGAAACCACCCCCAGATAAGACGGCTGACCATTGCATTGCGCAGACAGGATAGTACATCAAAAGTTCATCGTGGTATGGGTGCATGCGTAATTGTGAATCACACCCTCACCAATTACGGGACTTTATGGCGGTGTGAACTCATTAGAGTTGCAGGTTCACCCTTCATGGGGATATGAAGCACGTCCTCGATTGGATGTTACTCGCTTATTCTATGTAAGTGTCACTCTTGCTCTAAAAACAACCGTTGCAACCTGTGGAACATACACTAATGCTGTCGCCGTATTAGCTGCATCAAAGTCTTAGTGCGCAGCTTGGTACATGCTACGTTCTATTTCTTGATGTCAAGAAATTTTGTGCGTTGCAATCGTCGCAACAGCGACGTCGGGTACATGGACCAGTTTCCATACGAGTTAGCCGTTTGGCCATCTCAAATTTTGACGTACCGACTCATTGCGCCACTTTTGTTCACCTGTTGGCGACCAAGCGCAATGTGCCCATCGTATGCAAAGGCTTGCTCGAGCAAGCAGTTGGCAATTTTAGGTGCAATGACACTGGCTACCGTCTGTGATGGAATTCGAAATAAAAAGCAGCTCTTTTCGTCAACAGGATTTGTTAAAAGGATAAGGTGGGGTATGCTTAATCCCACTGTTCTATAGTATCTCAACTGCATCCTACACTGCATTTGCCGACTCAACGTTTCATTAGTCTCACCCGCGTCCTGGCATCCGTCATCGCCCAGGGGATGAATTATTCTCGAGCATGTGCGGTTGGCACCCCTTTGCCCTCTCCGTGAATAGATTTTCCTTTATACTTAGATCCGACCTCCTATTGGCCGACTGCGCATGACCAAGGAGACAGCTACGCCACAACGAGCGCAAAAGAAGCGAGTGATGCATGGACGGGCGAACTAAGAAGAGTAATAGAAGGAGTCGAAATTCTTACGGCTTAACTTGAATGCCCTATGGAATAATGTGTCAGTGCAGTGGTATAAACCTAACATTGATGGCTTATTCACTGTTCTAAACCAAGTGAGATCGGTGGCGTGGTTGTATAGAGGTGTGCTGGTGTTGAGCTCTTGCAAATAAGCCTTAAACTGTCCCCCTTCATTAGCCGGAGTTTCCAGGTAATGGATTTCGCAAGCTCCTGTAATTAGGATATGGATGTATTTCTGATTTATCACAATACGAAACGCAGATATTAGTCTGTGGTTCATCTCCAGTATGGATTTGGGCGATTGTTAAACTACGGACACAAGACATGTAATGCCGTCCATCAGAAGATCAGTGACACACGCTTGAGGATCATCTATGAGATCGCAGCAATCGTTTGTTATGTAATAAATAATTACACACCCTCCCCTACGCGTTCTGTCGTTTCGGAAAAGCGGCATACTTGATAGATTAATCGCAAAATCAGTAATTACACAACTGAGCCACGTCTCGGTGATCGTTATATCTCGAAACCCTTAAGCCTGACGGCAACGGAATTAGACCAACTTAGTAACAACGCCTTGTGTGTTAATGTACAAGCAGCCGCTCAGTAAGCAAGTGAATCATTGGAGTAAGATTGGAGATTGTACCGAAAATTGAAGAAGTACTCCATTTTTGTGCTTTAACGCACCTCGTTTTTTATCACTACTGTACAGTTTGTTAGGGCTGACGGCTTTTTTCGAAACACTATTCTCGACCTACCAACCGCGTATTCTGCTTTTCTACTGTGGCGTGCTGAGCTCGTTCTGTCTGTGTGTCTGGGAAGTCTGAGCTTCGCTGAGCCAACACTCTGGAATACCATTTTGACTACTTTGTCTGTGAGTGTGAATATTCTGTGGAATTAGACAATGTGGTTACATCTTAGAGTCAGCGTAAACCTTCCTTTTCTCTGACATCGATTTGTTCTTTTTGGTGCGGTTGTCTAGGACTAACCTGACTCCACTAAATACTTGGTGACCCCGTAGTCTTTTTCAAAGCGAAACCCACTGGGCTCTTACTGTGAATTGTCGATTTATATCACACCCCACACTGACTCTTCTGAGAACTTTGTTGTTTTTTCTTTGTCTGTTGCTCACATGAGCAATGCATGTGTTTGGTTCTTGCAGTTAGAAGCTTTTGCGTTTGCGTAGGATTACTTCGCGATCTTTCAGATTTTCCTACGTCGCTGCACACCTGCAAACACACCGCCGCCGATATAGTAGGCTTACGCAACCCCGCTCCTACCGAATCCGCTACGAGAAGCTTAAAACTACCGTTTTGAGACGTCTCACAGCTTTCAATGAGGCCAGACTTTAACAACTTCTCTCAGAAGTTGAACTGGGTGATCGTTCACCTCCGCAGCCTTTAGGTTATATGCGCTCAGTGGTGGGTTCCTTTAAAGTCGACGACAGCGTCTTATGTCAGACCTGACTCAAATACCTCCCATCCAACACGGCGATTCTCGCTTTATCGGCCGACCATCTATCACTTTACAAAGCTCATGAGTGTTTCTTTCAGCGCCTAATCTGTCACGCTATTGGCACTCTCACCAAGACCACCGCGTCAAAGGTTCCCAATAGATCTACTTGTCAGGAACTGTCCATTCCAGAGCTCGCAATCGAAAGAGAGCGCCGCTCACGCAGTCGAAGTTTTAGATCCAATTCATGAAGTAGACATGCTATGAACAAGAAATGGCACATTTGCTATTATCATCGGGATTTTGGTGACAGCGATAAAAGCTGTCGTCCTGGTTGCACACACCCGGCTTTTTTCGAAACACTATTCTCGACCTACCAACTGCGTATTCTGCTTTTCTACTGTGGCGTGCTGAGCTCGTTCTGTCTGTGTGCCTGGGAAGTCTGAACTTCGCTGAGCCAACACTCCGGAATACCATTTTGACTATTTTGTCTGGGAGTGTGAATGTTCTATGGAATTGGTCAATCCGGTAACACCTGAGGGTCAGCGTAAACCTCTCTTTTTTGACATGGATTTGTTCCCTCTAGTGCAGTTGTCTAGGTCTAATCTTCATTACACTACAAGGGGTCGGCCACTAGCCGTTTTCTGAAGAGTCCTTGGCCTTTAAATTGCGGTTGGGTTATACGACTGCTCTCGGCTGTCTTGGTTCTGATGGTCTCCGGTGCATAGATACATCTGTTTGAACCCTAGTTGGCTCTGAGATACTACTGCAACGAGATAAGTGTTTCAGCGACCTGTCGAGCAGCTTGGAATGCCTGCACAATAGGCCTGGAAAACAAGCACAGGAGGGCAATAGGTTTAGTGAAAAACTAGAATCAAATTGCGTGGTGCGGAGAACGCACGCAATCGAGAGACGTGAAAGTAAAATTGCATGATCTTCGTGAAGAGTATATTCACGTGCGCTGACAGTCGTGAATCTAAGAGACCGATGTACAGAAGTTCGAGCTGTCAAGAGCTTAAATTCTCGGTACCGAGCAGCTTTATGAAGTGAAAACAATGAAATTGCACTTAGATGCATTCAGCATTAGGTGGCGGGATTTCGACCATCGCACGTGTTCTTCCAAAGAACTTTGTAGCCTGGTGGAAAAAGTCTGAAAGTAGACGATTTACGTCGATGATTAAGCCATCAGCATATTTTAGAAGAATGGTCTCCTCGGTGACGAATGGGGACATATTGTAGTTAGAAAATACTAAGGGTAACAAAATAGCCTGTTGAAGGATGCCAGAGGTTGTGGAAAGTGGTGAGGAGATTTAGTCGCCAAATGTGGTGACCTGAGTATGTTTGGCGAAATAATCATTTAGAAAGAAGATTGGTGAAAATTGTGTAACAGAACCGTGTAGCTATTTCCATAGTAACTTACGGTTAACACAGCCGAAAGCGTTGCCGTATTCTAGCTAACAGACACGTGCGTAATTTTTCTTAATCTCTAGCGACGACAAGACTAACTGAACTCAAAAAGCAAGTGTGTAGTGTATGGATTTTTAACTTTATAAGAAAACCGATGTAAGTCATCGAGACGAGACTGGACCAGCATTCTCTCGAGAATCAGATATACAAAAAACTTTCAAGGCGACAGAAATGCAGAAAACAGACCGATCTTTACCCGTCGCTTTCTTCCGTACTGGGGTTATGATAGCACACATCAAGAAACCTGTCACTTTGCTTTGCTGTAGACACTGTGTACAACCCAGCGAGAGGGTGGCCTAAGGAATCCGCACATTGCTTGAGGACGATAGGAGGCAAGCTGTCAAGTTCGCTTAGTCTGCTTCAGTGTACCTGCGCTGACATTTTGTGCAGTGATGCAACGTCGACAAGAGGCAGTGAACCTGCAGACTGCTGAAACTGCGCAGATGATGAGTCAGAGAACGATTCAATGATGGTGCAGTAGGTTATGATTTGATTCGCTTACATCCGCGAGAATTTGTGAGGTGCAGTGACTCCACTCAGTTGTTTTATTATCAGCCAAATCTCACGGTAACTGTGATTTACCATAATTATCCGGACATAGACATTATTGAGATGAAGCAATTCTTCCTAAGTACGAGCAGAAAGGTACGATCATTACTGTTGAAAACTTTATCCTTGTGGTGTGATGAAGAAAACCGAACAGCATAAATGAAACTGGTTTATACCGGATCAATCGAAACCTGCTCTATTTCAGCTTTCTATAGTTATCCGCACATTTCTTTTTCATGTCTCCACTTAGCGATCAGTAACGAATATTTTCTTTGCGATCGACTGTCTGAAATTAATGAACTGATCGTCCTCCAATGCTGATAGTTTCAATTATTCGTCTTTATGGATAGAGCAACTATAACCGCAAACATTATGGACTACATTTGGATTATCTTTACTGCTCTTTATTCCTTACAAAACCCTGGTCGGAATGCAACATTTCTTTCTCTCGAAAATTCTGTGCCACCGTCGTTATTCACCAAGACTTCCCATGAACTTGTGATTGGCCCATTTGCAAAAGCGTTATTAGTATTATGCTTTTTAATTCCTCACAATTTATCTTCTTAGTTATTTTGTTGTTGGCCACGAGTGGACCGATCTCTTGAGGTGCTGGATTACTGCTTCCAAGCTAAAAAGTTATTCTCATGCAGGACATATTGCCACCGACACACTGGCGTATAACAATAAGTAGTGCCATACTTGACTGACCTGCATGTCGGAACGGGCTGAGGCTTTATCGCCGATAATGCATGCATAAAACAGCCCTTATAAAAACACTTTGTTAAACAGGTAATGGATTATTTGCTATTTTGTCACACCGGCACACAGCCAGTTGGAGAATATAAGTGCGGGAGAAACCCATCGAGAGAATACCACGAATGAAAGCAGGTCCCCTGAGGACGATTCCATGGTAGGTCATATTACTTCGATTGAACTTTAGGCTAAACCTGCATCGGTTATTGTTCCCATTTTCTTAATCATTCTGGTTGCTAATCACATAGAAAACCCATTCGGGATTTTTTTGTACAAACCATAAACAATTAAGTATCCTATGCGATCTCGTACAGATTGATCAGGTCACTCAGTTTGACTATTTCGCACCGGTAGGGAATAAATCGTTTATTTAGTTATGTATAGAAGTTCAGGTAACTTGTCACTTGGCAACAGTGTGTTAGTACAGCTGCGTCAAAAACAAAACGATGTGGAGGCGACAATTTCTCTCAATCGCGCTATGATTGGAGAGAGGGATTGTCTCCGTTCCTATCCACGGTCATTGCAGCGAGTGCATCACAAGCCTGCATTATAATCTGAGAGTGTAGGTTTATGTAGACAAAGGATAGCTTGAATATAGAACGATCAGAGCTGCCAAGTGGTGCTCGATCGCAGACCGAGAATACAAAACAGTGAAGAAATTTCTTTTCCATAATTCTCTTCGGGCTAATACGCACAAAAAATGGTTAAAAATGCGATAGGCTAAGATAGCTAGGCTAGAATTGATTCAATGTAAACAGGTTGCTTTATTTGTTGATCAGACTCTCCAATCGACGATGTTAATTACGCACATGCGCATACACACAAGCTCACATCTCATAGGAGTCACCGCCTGTGATCGAAGTAAGCGGCGTTCACAGTGAAATGAAGGTCGACGGGAATGAAGCGTCTGCACTAGCGCCCCTGCTTGCACAGTTCAGATTGCATTAGCCATACTGCAATGACGCTTTTAAATCCCTTTTGGGTAGCGCACAAAAATTCTATATCCGTCGTGGTCATAAGTTGGACTAAATGTTGCAAAATGGAGCTGTTGATACTTCTAACTGTACGCTTACATAATAGTGCTAGGTAATATTTCGCTAACCGTTTGGCCTAGCGTCTGGTCATGTCCGAGGTATCTTACACCACAGATATAGGATAAAGGAATATATTCAGATTCTTGACAAATACCAAAGCTATGGATACCTCCAACCTAATGGGATATTCCGCACCATTATGCAGTTGTAAGGAATGTAGCATCGAATCTATTGAAATCCCAGCAAATACACACAGAGACTGATCGATTCACCTAGTGAGAGCAGCCATAAAGTGTTCGCAAAGTTTGGCTCCTTCTAAGTTGGGACATCTGAAAGATGTACAAATATTGGCCCGTATCCACTCAGATATTTTGGCTTAAACTGTAAGACAAAATAGTCCATACGATGTGGAGAGTAACGAAACAAGCTCCCCATTGACAGACAATAAGAAGCAATAATAAAGGCGATGATACCACCGCCACATGGGCAGAGGCGGTGAATGGTGAGCACATGGTCGAGCGGCACGAAAGGAAATGAAACCGTTGTTTGGTATGAAAACGCTTTCAAGATCTTTATGAAGTCAGGTATCCTGCAGCAAGTACGTTTGCCTGCGTGTTAAGTATTCTTGCATTTCAGGGGTTAGATGTTGACTGAGCTCCACAGTAGGGCTGTGCCTGATGTGAATGCTAACAAGGTGCCTACCTGTCTATAACCCACCACCTCATCCATACTGACTCCAGGAGACATTTGGTCATTGCTGGAAGGGACGGGGTACACCGTCATTGTGATGATGCTAGGTTCAAAGAGTGGTTCCATCCGGTGTGGAACGGGCTACCACCCAATCACCGCCTTTTGTAAGCCTGATACGTATGAGTTCCCAATTAGGCAAGAATGCATCCGTTCTACTCGTTGAAGGAGTGTGGGCCGGCTCCGTTGATGAAACGTGCCTCCCGATCTTATCCATTAGGGTTTACACCGTGTCTGTGCGTGGAACTGTGGGTGGTGCAGCGTAATCCACCCATGGTTCCTCTGTAGACGCAGGCGTCCTGTGGCTGTTCCCGTGGAGGCCACAGTGATAGGCAAATCCGGACAGGGACACCACCAATGCATCCTGCAGCATGGCGGGAGATCCCATGGTGCGCAGAGGCCCTTGGTGGTTAAATCTTGACAGATCGTTGAGCCTCTGATTCCAATGTTGTGTCGTAAACTCATGTGCGAATGTCTCTTCGTGGTGACCACTGAGTGGGAGTTGGGTTACATCAAGCTAAGAGACACAAAATCCCGACGGAGTCAGTTCAACGACTTATGGCGCACGACATGCTGCCTTTCGGGGGTACATTTGATCGAAAGCTTTGGCTGAGGACCTGATTCGTTCTGCTATCAGGTGTGCACGCCCTGGCAGCAAAATCTCTTCAAAGCCAAACCATGAAATACACCAATACTGATAAGGTCATGTTGCAATGTCTGTCGCGCAGTGGACGGTGAGCGAAAACGGTTGCTGTAACTGCTGCATGCAGCTGGGTGGATAAGCGAAAACACACTACTGATGATGCCTCCCTTCTTCCGCTACACATACTCTCCTCATCCCCGTTTCACCTAATCCAATACCTCATGCAGTCCAGATGATCGCACAAGCGGTTGCACACTTTCGCCATCGTATGCCTCCGCGCAAAGCGTTCAACATCCGATGCTGGAATGTGCACATACTACTCGACCGAAACAAGAGTGAGCATCCCGAGCCACGCAGTGCACTGGACGCGAAGGAACTTGTGCGCTAGAGTAATGAAATTGCCACACTGAATGAAACTCGGCTCGCTGAGTAAGGGCAGCAGCATGAGAATTGTACTGGGTGCACGTTCTACGGGGGGAGACAGACAGAACTAAGCGGCCCTTCGGCGCCCACTGTCTGAGAGCGGTGCTAATCAGAAACAGCTGGTGCTCCGCACACAGCTGAAACAGACACTCGCCAATGACTCAGCTCTGGAGCTAATAACGATGCCCACACTAGCTTGACTAGTTATTACTGCAACAGTGTCTCCGGATGCGTGCAACCAGTAGCGAGAGAACAAGCCGGGCAGTTAATTCAACAACCCCGTGAGGGCCACTGATCCTTGTTCCGGATACGTAACACACGTCAATACCAAGTGTCGTACGTGAGTGCGTGTGCAGCCAGTTGATTTATTTGTCTAAAGTGCGAACGCTGAACGTCACCAGGGAAACATGACAGCGTGGTCTTATAATGGACTATTGCTGATAGGTGTCCATTGCGTGGTGTGGGAAGGTAGCTGCTGGTTGTGTGACTACAGTGGCATTGCAGTCGTCAATTAAGCTGGGAATCATACAAGAA